CTTTTGTTTTGAGACAGAGTCTCACTCTGTTGCCGAGGCTGGAGTACAGTGGCCCAATCACAGCTCACTGCAGCCTTGACCTCCTGGGCTCAGGTGATCCTCCCATCTCAGCCTCCCGAGTAGCTAGGATTACAGGCGTGCACCACCATGTCCGGCTAATTTTTTGTATTTTTTTGTAGAGACGGGGTTTTGTCATGTTGCCCAGGCTGTGTCTCAAACTGTTGGGCTCAAGCAATCTGCCCGCTTTGGCTTCCCAAAGTGTCAAGATTACAGGCGTGAGCCACCACGCCCAGCCAAAAGCAGTTTTTATTAAGTTGTGCTTATTTGGGATAACTTAGGGAATGTTAGTAACGTTTGGGTAAAGGCTACTCCCACCCATAGCCATCCCTCAATACCGTAACTCCTGCAGAGTTTTGCAGAGTCCCCTGGTCCTCCATTTTCAGAGGATTTCTTTTATTTGTGATACCCTACTTTTCTTCTTTCTGGCCCTACCCTGTCCTGGCCCATCCACAGCCCTCTGTCATAGCCTATGCTGCCTGCTGCCAGCTGGACTCAGAAGACAGGCCTCTCGCCGGCACCATTGTCTACTGTGCCCAACATCTCACCAGCCCCAGCCTCAGCCACAGTGACATCGTCATGGTGACTGCTGCATGATGAATAGGGAGAAGCAAACAGGTTGCAGGGTAGGGGGCCAGGTTACTCAGTTTCCCATAAAGTCAAAGAACCCACAGAGGATGGAATAGAAGGTGCCTCAAGCTCTAGGAAGAGCTGATTGGGCAGAGGGGTATAGAGTGTTTGGTCAATCCTGCTGCAAATTTGGCCCCCTTACTGGGCTGTCATTTGTCCTTAGGCCACACTACATGAATTGCTACATGCCTTAGGTTTCTCTGAACAGCTCTTCAAGAAATGGCAAGACTGCCCCTCAGGATTCAGCGGTAAATGAGAGGAATGAGGTTAAGGACTTCCCACGATCAACCAGAGGGAATTCACTATCTCATAACCTCCTTCCTTCTAATTTCACTTCACCCTTCCTAAGTTTTCCTCTCCTCGTATTGCCTTCTTCCCTTTGTGCACTCAGTTAGAGAGAACTGTTCTACAAGGCAACAAGTGACAAGGCAAGATGAGTGGGGACAACTGCTTCTCACCACCCCAGCTGTTAGCCTCAGCCTGGCCAAACACTTGGGAGTGCCGGGGGCTTCACTGGGTGTTCCCTTGGAAGAAGAGGTGAGAATGAGAACACCTTGGGGTAATGGAAGAAAGGAGTAGCCAGGTAACAACCAGCCATCTGCCACCTCCTCCAGGAGGGCCTTTTGTCCTCACACTGGGAGGCCAGACTACTCCAGGGTTCTTTAATGACTGCTACCTTTGATGGAGCCCAGCGCACTCGACTCGACCCAATCACCCTCGCTGCCTTCGAAGACTCAGGCTGGTACCAGGTCAACCACAGCGCTGCAGAGGAGCTGTTGTGGGGCCAGGGTGAGAAATAAGGCAGATCTGCAGAGAGGCACTCACGACCCAAGTCAGCTCTGGGGGAAGTGGGAGGCTGGAGGGGTTTCTGTTGCTGATGTATAATCAAAGCTATGAGGATAGCTGGTGCGGAAGGATGTTTGGGCTTCATTTGTTGAGGGCTCTCTTTCCTTCTCATCTTTCAAGCAGGATCTGGCCCGGAATTTGGCTTGGTGACCACATGTGGGACTGGCTCCTCAGACTTCTTCTGTACTGGCAGGTGTGTGTGCTGAGTGGTTAGGGGACTGTACGGCGGTCAGTGATCCTAGTGTCACTCTATCATCCATTCCACACAGTGGGCTGGGCTGCCACTACCTGCATCTGGACAAGGGAAGCTGCTCCTCAGACCCCATGCTGGAAGGCTGCCGCATGTACAAGCCCTTAGCCAATGGGGTGAGTAGACAAGAGAGCAGACAATGAAACTGAGTGGTTCCGGAAGGGAGTCAACTTCAAAGGCATCAGAACAAACACTATTCTACCTTCTGACCTGCCCCTCAGAGTGAATGCTGGAAGAAGGAAAATGGATTCCCTGCTGGGGTGGAGAATCCCCATGGGGAAATCTACCATTCCCAGAGCCGTTGCTTCTTTGCCAACCTCACTTCACAGCTGCTCCCTGGGGATAAGACCAGGCATCCTTCTCTTACCCCACACCTCAAGGAAGCAGAGCTCGTGGGCCGCTGCTACTTACATCAATGCACAGGGAGGGGAGCTTATAAGGTGCAGGTGGAGGGCTCACCTTGGGTCCCATGCCTTCCAGGAAAAGTTATACAGGTGGGTACCATAAGAGGAATAGTTGCGGCATACTGGCAAAAAGAAGTTGGGAAATACTTGTATGGTGGTACTGTCCAACCTGTTTTGCTGTACATACAGTTTTCCTAAGTACCCACTGAGTCCAGACTCTGACCTAGAATACATTTTCCTTAGAAGACTTGAACAGATAATCAAAGCAAAACCATATCCTGCTACATATTTCCTTGCAGATACCTGGGTACTATGGTCTTCTCTTCTGTCCCCGGGGTCGGCTGTGTCAGACTAATGAAGGTATCAATGCTGTTACTTCCCCACCTGTGAGTCTTTCAACCCCAGATCCACTATTCCAGCTCTCTTTAGGATTAGCTGGGCCTCCAGGCCACTGTCTGGGGAAAGAACAGCAAGAAGGGCTGGCTGAAGCAGTACTGCAGGCTTTGGTGAGCAGAGGTGGCACTGGCAGGTAAAAGCTTGAGTATTTATACAATGGGTCAAGGAGAATCCCTAAGTCCTTTACTTGATGACTCTCCTCTGAAGACCTTTTGTTCATCCCACTCTTAAGCCTGCATCTGTTTCATCACATATACTCTGCCAGGAACTATACCTCTATTAAAATATTCAAATGTCCATTTAGGTGCTATTTCCACAGCCCATCAATTACCACTAGCTTGGTGTTTACTGTGCATATGTGGAAGTCTCCTGGCTGCCAAGGGCCTTCAGTGGCTATGCTGCACAGGGCCCTGACTCTGACTCTCCAGAAAAAACCCCTAGAAGTGTATCACGGAGGAGCCAACTTTACCACACAACCCAGCAAGTAAGATAATATTCCAAGTACTTTTCTTTCAAATCCATGGAGTCCAGATGTTTGAAATTAAATTTATTAAGCACTCACTCATGTGTATATTGTCCTAGACAGGGTTGCGTTTCAGAGAACAAAGATCCCTAACTAACACGATCATCCAGTCATGTCACTACCTGGCTCCCTTCTCCCATACAATAACACATTCTCCCATCTCTAGGACACAGGGATCGGATCTTAGTTCCACCCCCCTGCCTTTTTTTTTTTTTCTTTTTTTGAGACAGGGTCTCACTCTGTTACCCAGGTTGGAATGCAGTGGGGGTGATCTCAGCTCACTGTGGCCTCAACCTCCCTAGGCTCAAGTGATTCCCCCACCTCAGCCTCCCAAGTAGCTGGGACTACAGGTGCACACCACCATGCCAGCTAATGTTTGTATTTTTGGTAGAACCAGTTTCACCATGTTGCCCAGGCTTGTCTCGAACTCCTGGGCTAAAGCAACCCATCCGCCTCTGCCTCCCAAAGTGCTGGGAGCCACTGCCACCACTCCTGGCCCCCTTCCTTTCTTAAGCACTGTTAGGGATTGTGCCTAGCTACCTAAAGACCATAGACTGACTCTTCCCCTAAGCCACTTCCCTCGCCGCCAAGTTAGCTCTTCTTCCAATAATTTAAGATGCTAGAAGACTTAGATCTTGACCTTATTTCGACTTTCATGTTCTGTAGTCCCTCCCGCCCGTCTCGGCCTCCCAAAGTGCTGGGATTACAGGCTTGAGCCACCGTGCTCGGCCAATGAGCTCTATTTTTAAGGGCACAGCCCCTTAGCCAGATGTGGTGGCCCGGCATGCGCCTGTAGTCCCAGCTAACTTGGAAGGTTGAGGTAGGAGAATCGCTTGAGCCTGGGAGGCGGAGGTTACGGTGAGCCAAGATCACACCACTGCACTCCAGCCTGGGCAACAGACCAAGAAATTGTCTCAAAAAAAAAAAAAAAAAAACACACACACACAAAAGGTAATGCCCCTTTATCTACTAAGCCTAGGCATTCTTCCAAGCCAAATATTACCTTCTATGTTCCTAGGTTGCTGGTTACTTCGGACCATAATCCCTCCATGACCCACCTAAGGCTGTCCGTGGGACTCTGCCTAATGCTGCTAATCTTTGTGGGTGTACTGGGAACCACAACCTACCAGAAAAGAGCCACTCTTCCTGTGAGACCATCTCCCTCTTACCATTCACCAGAGCCCCACGGCACAAGGGTCCCAGTTAGAGGAATAAGGGAGGTGTGATGTTGCCCAGAACATGACAGGGTGTAAGAAAATCATTTCTTGGGAGACAACTGGATGGAAAATCTATTGTGTATACTTAAGTTCTACTTTCTTTGGAATGCCTTTCCCCGGATATCAATTTTATATAGCCTGGCAAAGAAAAAAAGGGTGAAGTTTTACAGTTTTAAAGATCCATTCTTTATTTTGGTACAAAAATAAACTGTTCAACCTGTAAATTGTCACCTGTTTTAATATTGTTATGAAGCAAACTTACAGAATAGGAACACCTGCTACCAGTTCCAAGAGTATCACATGCATATGCCTTAGAAAAAGGCCAGGTATGATGGTTCATGCCTGTAATCCCAGCATTTTGGGAGGCCAAGGGGAGAATGGATTGCTTGAGGCCAGCAATTCAAGACCAGACTAGAAAACGTAGCAAGACCCCCATATCTACAAAATAATTTTAAAATATTGTGGTGCGAGGCTGTAGTCCTGAATACTCAGGAGACTGAGGCAGAAAGATTACTTGAGCCTAGAATTTGAGGTTACAGTGATCTCACACTCACTGATGATCATGCCACTGCACTCCAAACTTGAGCGACAACTCATCTCTTTAAAAAAAAAAAAAAAAAAAGTCATTGTGATTTGGATTCAGTGTGGAGAAAGAAGCAACTAATTATCTCTCTCTCCTGATTTTTCATAATTTTATTAAATCATCACTGGGAAAACTAATGGTTTGGGTATCACACAATTACACTAGAATCTGATAGGAGTGGTAAAACCAGCCAATGGAATCCAGGTAAATTATAAAAATGCCACCTTTTATTGTCCTGTCTTATTTCTGGGGAAGGAGGGTTCTACTTTACACACTTCATGAGCCAGCAGTGGGCCTGAGTTATAATGTGTAGGTTCTTTTTGGTTATAGCTGCAGAAGAAGCCATCAAATTCTTGAGGATTTGACATCTCTTGGAAAGAAGCAAACTAGTAGACTGATAAGCGGGATTGCTTAGATTGATAATATTTACAAATAGGAGTCCAGTTGACATGCTATTACTGTTGAAATAACCATGCCTATACTGGTCAGTGAGTTCAGTCAGCTGGTCTGAATACCAGTTCCAGAGCTTTAGATGACACATTTGAATTATCATTGTAGAGAGTCATGGCCTTGGCTCCATCAGCTATGGTTATCTTCTTTGGTCTGAATGCCTATCAGTCCTTACCAGCTGTAGCAGCCACTGCTTGGTAAAACTTTGCCACGAAGTCTGGCTCACTGAACTCCAGCTGTCTGACAAATTCATTGCGCTCCTGCTCAGCCCAGCCTCGAAACCACTGATCCCAAAGATGTAGCTGACACTCAAAGATAGAAGGTGGTCGGTCTGCCCCAGACACACTAAGCTGCTCCAGACTATCCAGCAATGGCTGTAATTTTTCTGGCACTGCCTTAGCTACCAGGTCCTCTAGGAAACGTTCACGCTGGGGACCTGACCAATTGGCAAACCAGTGAAGAATACACTTCATCTCCTGGGAGGTGATGTAAGACATCGGAGGAGGGGAAGGGTTAGTATTGTGTGGTACTGAGGGTAAGAGAGATGGGAAGGATAGCGGCATTGAAGAGGATGACTCCAGTGGCATCCTGAAACATAAAAGCACTGTTATACGCTCTCCAGGTAGAGCAACGAAAATACAACTTTCAAGCAACAAGACATCTTACCACACTCAATTAGCATCTACAGAGAAAATTACTTTTTATGAATTCAAAGACCCAAAATTAATAAAGTCTTTTATTTAGATTATCCAACTACCTTAGAGAAGTCACCAAAAATAACTTCGTTTCCTATTTGCCTGCCTTTTTCAAACCCATTCTTCCCTACCCACTGTCACCCTCCATCTTTCTTATAAAGAACCTAAAAATAACCAATATATTTCTTGTTCACTCTCTCCCTCTTACTTCTATGTGCCAGGCTGGGTAAAGAAAAAAACAATGATTAACGTTGGTCCATCACATCTTCTCCAAAACGAAAAAGCATACATTTTAAAATCTAGTACGTGCAGCTGGTCAAGGCTGATGCTAGTTGTTTTGTAGCTATCAACAGTGCGGGAAGAAAGAAAAAAAATTATTTATGATGAAAGAGGTTTCAATGTGCATATAAGCCTCTGAAATATGCCAAGAACTTCATAACATTTGTTACCTCCTTATATTTCCTGTAAAGCACCAGAAAAAGTTAAAGAGCAGAGTAAGAGCCTTGCTCAAAATAAGGTAACGCAGTAAAAGAACCAGAAGCTCGGGTGTTTGAGACTTTAAAAAGAGTCCAGTTGGTTTGTTGGCTTAGAGATCTAACAACTGTTACACTACTTCATGACAATCCATGTTTTTAAACAATTGCCCTTAATATTTAGTATGGGCCAGACACAGTGGCTCTTGCACTTCCAAAGTAATCTCAGCACTTTGGGAGGCCGAGGCAAGAGGATAGCTTGAATCCAGTTGTTCAAGACTAGCCTGGGCAACATGGCAAAATCTCATCTCTACAAAAAATTTAAAACCTCGTTGGGCGTAGAGGTGCCTAACTGTAGTCCTAGCTACTCAGGAGGCTGAGGTAGGAGGATCACCTGAGCCCTGATCACACCACTGCACTCTAGCCTGGTTCAGAGTGGAGTGACCCAGAGTGGAGTGACAAAAAAAAATTTTTTTATTTTTAGTATGGCATCTATTGGTGCCTTGCTATTTATTTATTTATTTATTTATTTTTCAGACGGAGTCTTGCTCTGTCGCCCAGGCTGGAGTGCAATGGCGTGATCTCAGCTCACTTCAACCTCCGCTTCCCGGGTTCAAGCAATTCTCCTGCCTCAGCCTCCCGAACAGCTGGGAACATAGGCATACGCCCGGCTAATTTGTTTGTATTTTTACTAGAGACGGGGTTTCACCATATTGGCCAGATTGGTCTCCAATTCCTGACCTCAAGTGATCCGCCTGCCTCGGCCTCCCAAAGTGCTTATAGGCATGAGCCACCGCGCCCGGCGCCTTGACATTAGTTTTGCATCATGAATGCAACGGAAAGATCAGCCTATTTGACTTCAATAGTTTTCAGTCTCTTAAATCTCTAACATATCTCTTAAATCTCTAAACCATTTGTCTGTGACCTATTTTACTGTTTGTGTTTCTTCTGCATCAAGTTGGAGGACTGCTAGTGACAAAGAAAGAAGCCCCTAAACAATATGAGTTCAAGTACCAAAAGTTCAGGGCGCTTGCATTTTTCAGTTCTTGCCCTACAGGAAGCAGTTCCTCCAAGGGAACTTACTCTCTTCTTCGGAGAAACGGAGAATTTTCCCAGAATCTTGCCACACGGCTTCCAAGGCAAACGCAAACTCAAACTCAAGTTGAGCGTCATAAATCAGTTCATAGTCTGGGTCCGAAGACACGGCGCTGCCTGCCTCTTCCCCACTTTGGAGGCCACGGAGCTTGTTATTCCGATTCCGCCCCCCTCCACAGGCCCCACCAAAAAAAAAGCCTAAGATGGGAGTGGCTGGGATTCAGAGGACAGAGGGCAGAAGCTGTTTGCGTTAAGGAGTAGGTGGCTTGCCCTATTAGGATAGTCCGCAAACACCGAGTCTGACCCGGCCCATAGAGGTACTTCCACCCCGCTTACCTCCCCTTTTCTCTCGGAGGGCACCCGAAGATTGTCAGGAGTCCTTAGACTCCATCTACCGCTGCAGCTTCCAAATTTCCTGAAAACCCTAAGCTGGGCCAGCCCGGCAGCCCACGCACTTCCGGCCTCGGACCCGCCCCAAACACCCAAGCGCCCCAGCGCCTCATCTCTAGGTCCGGAGATAAACGAACATCTCCGATTATGGTTATACCAGAGTCGAGGGCTTCCGAATATATTCGATTCAAAGCTTCGGCAAGACGAAGAAAACCGAGCCTGAAAGCAGGGCGAGAATAGGGGAGCTGCAGGGCGGATGGAAAAAATTGATTGGTGCCGATGTGGAGACGGAAATATCCGAGGACATCCGGAGGAAGCCGGGGAGTTCTGAGTGGTAATCGAGGGGTAGAGTATGGCAGTGGGCGGGGTCATCTCGGTACGTTCGAAGGGCGTTGGCGGAAATTACCGAAGATGCCCGAAGCCGTCGGGACGGACCCGAGTACCTCACGCAAGATGGCGGAGCTGGAGGAGGTGACTCTGGACGGGAAGCCTCTTCAGGCGCTGCGGGTGACCGACCTGAAGGCCGCACTGGAGCAGCGAGGCCTAGCCAAGAGCGGGCAGAAGAGTGCCCTGGTCAAGCGGCTCAAAGGGGTGAGGAGTCGGCGTCGCTGGGGTGTCGGAGGAGAGCGGACCCGGTAGAGACGAGCCTCTGCCGCGGCGCAGGCGCAGTATCCGGGCTCGGCGCGAGCTCGCTCAGGCCGCCAGCGCGAGCCTCTGGATCCGCGCGCACGGTGGTTGGTGAGCTTCGCGCTGGAATGGCGATCGCGCCGGTTCCCGCCTTAACGGCAGCAGCGCGAGCCCAAATGGGAGGGTGTGCACTACTCTCCAGGAGTGTCTTAAGCTCCTTCCTCCTTCCCCCACCCCCTCCTTGTTTGTATCTGTGGTTTCGGCGCATGCGCTGCAGAAGGAGTTAAATCCCACTACAACCTACGGCGTTGCTGGCCTGAGGGGGGCGAGTTGGGCTGGGTCGGAGTTAGGGGTATAGTTGCGCGGAGGGGTGGATGGGGTTGGTATCGGTATCTGCAGGAATAGGTTTGGGGTAGGGTAAAATGTCTGCTCGGTTAGATGAGGTGAGATGAAGAGAGACCTTTATGTGAAGGGACTTGGTGAGAGAGGTGTCTAATTTATAGGGCATCTAGTGGCAATTTGGGTAGTTAAGAGTTTGGTGAATATTGGTGAGAGAGGCGAGGCAGGTTGATATATATTGGGGATTTTGAATCAGTTTAAGTAGATTAAGGTGGGAATGTCATGAGGTAGGTGTAGATCGATTCGAGTGTATAGGTTTGGTTTAAAGAAGGGAAGATGAGGATGTGTTGGTTTTAATTAGAGTTCAATAGGATACGTGGCAGGTAGTGCAGATTAGGTCTGGGTTGGCTCCAGGGTTGAGTTGGCAGACCGTTGCTTATACAGAAGCTGATTGTGTGTGTGTGTATGTGGATGGACGGACTAGGTTAGACTACAGTTCACAGGGTCTCTGGTCATTTTCTTCTGTAGCCTCCTCTTTGAAAATTTTGTAAATTTGGTAAATCTAGGTGCCACAGTACTGGAAATTATACAAATTGACTCTAGTCCTGGGTAACCCTTTGACCAAGTAATTCCATCAGGCAAAAACCAGGAGCCCCATGGCTGCTGGTTTGAGTATTTTTAAGTAGTTTTACCTGCATGATCAGATTTAGAAGGGGCACTTGGCACAAGTGCAGAAGACAACAGGGATTTTAGTACTGGTTCTATTACTGATATTGTGACATAGCCAGGTCACTGATTCTGTGTGCCTGCATTTTATATCTGTACGTTTAGTAACAGTAACCATGGCTACCTTTAAGGGTCTTCTGGTGATGAATGAGAACAGTGTCAGTAAAGGATTTTCAGGTCCCTGGAAGAGGAGTACAGTTTAATTGTGTGTATTTAAGTCATTGCATTTAATTAAGAGGTTGTGGTAGAGGTGGGAGTTTTTCTTTTTTTTTCCTCATCATTTCTGACTTTTACCCTTCTCTATACCAGGCTCTAATGCTAGAAAATTTACAGAAACACTCAACACCCCATGCTGCATTCCAGCCAAATTCCCAGGTGAGAAAGGTTTATTCAATGGAGTGGGCTCTTTGGATATACAGACACATGGCAGGACGTGGTGTTGTATATTTCATGCTTAATTCCTCACGACTATTTTCCTAAGTTCCCTTGGTCAGAAATGTTCTCAAACCAGGACAGTTGAATTCGAATCACCCAGTTGTATACAAGGGCCTGGAGTAAAGAACAGAATCAAAGGCGCTATTAGTTTATAATAATTGAAGTGGTATGTGCAGAAAGGTGTGGCTTCCATTAATTACATGTAGTACAGAGATCTGAAATCATTTATCTGACATGAATTTAGGAAAGGTAGTTGATGTCTTTGAGTATAGATATGAAGTAGACCACCAATGTGACAGTGTAGGAAAATAGTTGCTAATTAAGAACTCTTGTTGATGTAGATTTACCAAGGGTTCAATCCTGTGTAAGTCACCCACTATTACTAGTGTTAACTACTAACTCAATGCACTTATTCATAAGCATTACTAATAGCTCCTTTTCTTAGGATAAGAAACTTAACCTTTGGAGGCCTTGGTTTCCTCCATTTCCTTATCTGTAATATGAGAAAAAGTCAAACTAAACCCATGGGTTTATAACTGCTCTCGGGGTTTTGTGGAGCTGCTTTGGGGAGCTTCTTAGGGGAAATACCTTTTTCTCAAGTAAGCAAGGCTCATACTTCTCTCTTAAACTAGATTAGATCTACTTTTATCCGCTTTGACTATTGAGTTTCTGCATAAGATGTCTTTTAAATTATTCCACAGTTAAAATCCAAAAATTATAAGGCTGCACAGTCTCTTAAAGTTTCTTTCAGTTTTTGAAAATCCCCTCTTTATAATGTGTCATATACTTAAAGGAAAAATCCAAGTCTTTGTTAAAGCAGTGGTGTGCAGCCTCAGTACTAGATGAAGTCCCAGGATACTGTGGAAAACAAGAGAGCCCTCCTACTCCCTTGTTATCACCTCATTAAGCTGTAAGTATCATAATCTAGCCAGCTTTCAGAGGTTCAATTAAGTACTTTAACAAGCATAAGAAACTGCATAAGTTAATCAGCTTGATTGTATTCTTTTTACCCATTGCATTTTAGTCTTTGAAGCTTTGCTTTTATTAACACAGGGGTTTTGCAGCAAACATGCCTATTCTGTAATACATGCAACCCACCCTTAGGCAATGTCCATTGAGTGCCAAGAGGCTCATTTCTACTTTAGTTGAAAATAAACATTTACTATGTTTAGGAAACATGACTTAATGACTAGAAAGTATTCAGGTTTTTTTTGCTTTTTGGGGAGTTCTAAATAGGACTTGCTAAGCAAGAAGGTTCTAGGGAGGAGAACTTGTGAAGGGAAAGCTGGAGGTCAGAAGAGCAACTTGGGAATCTGTTACAGAAAAAAAATAGGAAAAGGCATAAGCTCCTGTTACCAAGGATTTCCTTTCACCTATACAAAATGGAGTTATAACTTTGTCTAAATGCTCAATGGATATCCCTTTTCTTAGTCTCTTGATTTCATGCTTTTAAATACTATACTTGAATTTTGGAGACGTTTGATAAAATGTTTCCTGGATATGAGGCCCGGCATTGTGGCTCACACCTGTAATGCTAGCACTTTGGAAGGCCAAGGCGGGTGGATCATCTGAGGTCAGGAGTTTGAGACTAGCCTGACCAACATGGCAAAACCCCGTCTTTACTAAAAGTGCAAAAATGAGCTGGGTATGGTGGCACATGTCTGTAATCCCAGCTACTTGGGAGGCTGAGGCAGGAGAATGACTTGAACCCGGGAAGCAGAGGTTGCAGCAAGCCGAGATCACGCCATTGTTCTCCAGCCTGGGTGACAGAGTGATACTCCACCTCGAAGAAGAAAAGAAATGTTTCCTGACTAGGTAACGATTGATCTTTTGGAGGAACTGGCTTTTTTTTTTTCTTGAGATGGAGTCTTGTTGTTTAAACCCAGGCTGGAGTACAGTGGCACGATCTCGGCGCACTGCACCTACCAGCTCCTGAGTAGCCAGGATGACAAACTCACACCACAATATGCCCAGCTTTTTGTATTTTTGGTAGAGACGGGTTTCACCGTGTTGCTGAAGCTGGTCTCGAACTCCTGAGCTCAAGCAGTCTTCCCACTTCAGCCTCCCAAAGTACTGGAATTGCAGATGTGAGCTACCATGCTTCAGTCTTGATACTACCAAAAGGAAATTTTAGATTACCCTTTAGATAATGTTCCACGTAATCTAGGAATTTAGCCTAAAAGGTATAATTACAGGAATTTTAATTTAAGGTTATTTGTGGCTGGGCACGGTGGCTCACACCTGTAATCCCAGCACTTTGGAAGGCTGAGGCGGGTGGATCACTTGAGGTCAGGAGTTTGAGACCAGTCTGACCAACATAGTGAAACTCTGTCTCTACTAAAAATACAAAAATTAGCCGAGTGTGGTGGCACACACCTGTAATCCCAGCTACTCAAGAGGCTGAGGCAGGAGAATCATTTGAAGTCAGGAGGCAGAGGTTGCAGTGTGCTGAGATCACGCCACTGCACTCCAGCCTGGGCAACAGAGTGAAACTCTGTCTTAGAAAATAAAAATTAAAAAAAGTAATTTGTGTACCAATATCACTCTTTGGAAACTGAGTATTTAAAATAAAAAATTATATGCAGCTTTCTTTTTGCCCTTTTTTTTGTGACTCAAGGCTATTCTTTTCTGCAATATAGAACCAACTTAGAAAAGAGCTTCCCAACATTTTAGTTATCTTTCTTGGGTCCGACTTTGCTCCATGGAATTTTCTTCTTTGCATTTTCCTGGTTTGTTTTCCTAGACCCTCTTTTTTCATTTCCTCTACACAGATTGGTGAGGAAATGAGCCAGAACAGTTTCATAAAACAGTATCTGGAAA